CTCTGCCCCGGGCTTCTTGGAATCAGCTGCTGATCAGTTTCAGCAGCAGCTGACTTGGGGACGCCTGGGGTTCTTAAGTTGATTCTGTATGTAAGTCAGAACTGGCGGTCAGTGTCAGCAGTGGCTGAATCTGGACGCCAGTTCTGACTTACATACAGATTCAACTTAAGAACAAACCTACAGTCCCTATCTTGTACGTAACCCGGAGACTGCTTGTAGTCAGATTTCCTGCTGTTTCATATGAGTATTTCACAGCAGTGGAGGGGGATATTTATTTAGAAAAGGAGGATGTAATTATAAAATTGCACAAATTGGCAGGTTAGATTCAGGGGCTGGTATAGGAGCTGAACAACTTTAAGCTCTCAATATAAAATAAACTAGATTTCAGGTTGACCATATACTTTTAAGAAATCCTCTGCTGAGAGCTCAAAGAGTCTAATGTGGGCTTTAGTAAGCTTGTAAACTGCAGGAAGCATGATTTCTGCCTCTGCTTAACTTTTAGCAATTCCATCCATATCTTTTCCATGTATCAGTTATTTCACATTCCTGCCAGGGAAAAGGGAAAAAATTAACCCCCCAAATTAAAGGATATGCTTTGTTACAGTGGGCTTAATGTTGTAAAAACAAATTACTTTTAAATATTATGTTGTAGTTAAAAAGAAGAATGCTGTGGAATCACATCTCAGCCCTTCATTAAAAATGTTGACAAGTCTGGAGATTCAGGGCCCAAATCACAGTCTGGATTCTGATTCAGTGCATGTCCCAAGCATCTCCTTACAAAAGGACTCTGTTGAGCCCCAGCCAGGATTTATAGCCACCTTTCTCAGGGGAGGGCTTTGTTTGTAGTGTACTAACAATAGCTCTGCAGAATAGAACATCTCATTCTCCAAAGCTAAAGCTTGTATGCTAATATTTATTCATATGGTGATAGCGTCAATAGCCCTCTGAGCAGGGTCTCAATATGCAAGGCTGTGTACAATTCCAGAGAGCTTGCTGCCTAAGTACAAGAAGAAAGACAACAGGTGGAGACAGCAAAAAGATGGGAGGGAACACAAAGGAACAGTGAGATGATTATATGGCCCTTCAGATGTAAATTATGTGGCAAGACCCAAAACTTGAGAAGTGAGTTAGGCAATGGCTGTGGAACCCAATGGAACTGAAGAAAATAGGCAGGTTAGTGGAGAAGGCACCCATCCAATGGAACTCCTAAAATAAGGCAATAAACAAGGAATGCTACTTAATAGTCACCTTTTCAACAAATCTATTGCTTCCCATGGTTTTTTTTAACCTCCCTGCTACTGTCTTGTTTCAGCTTGCCCAAGACCTCATGCTGGCCATAGACTTTCTCCTCCTAATCAGCACAAGAGAGAATTCCTGCTCCTGTGAACATAAGCTGACCAGTTGGGCAGGTGCCTGCAGTGAAGAACTTCTGCTGGAAGGGAAAGCATTTTATTGCATTAGAAACAAGCCCTGCCTGACACTGAAAAGTTGATCTTGTTTGGTTCTTGGAATCCATTCAGGCCCTGTCAGTCAGATGAATTTGCATTAGTTAGGTAGGATTTAAATTATTTTTAAAAGAATTTTAAAATATGTCTGAAATGGTCTTTTATTTGTATATTGTATTTTAAAACAGACAATTTATATATCCCCTGTTATTTTCAGGTTTGCTGTAAATTACCTGCAATAGTTATAATGACACCAGCCCTCAGAGAGGCAGCAACAAAAGGTCATGGTATCCACTTGTCACCTTCTTTGTCCTCTAGAGCTATGGAGTCTGATACAACTTTGTGTATGGAAAATTCCAGAGCAGTCGAGGAGACGAAAAAAGAGGATTCCATCACACAGATTACTTGTTCAGTCTTAGGATTTCCCACTGCTGACCTCAACCTCTCTAATGATATCTTCAGTGTAAAACACTTTGGTTCCCCACAATCTACTAGACATTATCAATCTGTCTTATTAATGAGCACAAATTCTCCATTAAACCTAAAACCCACCAACAGTAAGCAAAGGAATTCAGAAGAGCACAGCTGCTCCAAGATGAGAAATCTACTACATAATGGTGCAACCACACAAATCAGTCAGACTAATAATTCAGAATCAGAAAACCAGGTCAGAGGGGAAAATGTATCAGAGACCATGTCCCAAAGTTTGGCAGAAATGCAAAGACTGTTGGATTCAAATGTAACTGAAATCAGTAATATGGCGTTTCCAAAGTGTAAATGGTATCGGAAGAATGGCTTTTTGGATAAGGCTCTGCTAGTACACGGTGAGACAAAAAAAAGCAATGTATTGCATCAAGTTGAGCATGAGCCTTTGAAACCAGTCATGAGCTGCACACCCAGGAGTAAAGAGGAGGAGTTGAATGCTCACTTACTTGAGTATATCAGTAGGCAACAAGTTGTGCTCAGTCGAGCCAAAAGAGCTCGGAAACGTTTACAAATACTCCTGGCAAAGCATGTTGTCAAACACTGTGATCACCAGCTGAAATGCTTTGTGAAACATCAGCTCCAAAGAATGAAAGTTTTTCATGATCCAACCAGATTTTTGGACAGTAGCTCCCGTGGATGCACTGATATTAGGGAAGAAAACAGTACAACTAACTTGAAGAATAATAAAGACACACAGAATGGATTTAACATTGAACCTGGTGAAATGTGGGGTTTTGCACACTCTGCTACAGGCTTGCTATCTCATGTGGAGAAAGATCTGGACTCTGATGCCACTTGCAGTAGTTCAGATGAAGATCGTGATGAACAGACTGTCAGAAAAACTGTGGAAGGGTAAGTGTTAAACTATTGCTAGACGTTTGATGTATTCATTTAACAACTGTAACAAACCCAAAAGGGGCCTGGGCCTTCAAGTTCTTTTGCCTGTGAGTAGCATTAGTCTTACTGAAGTCAATTGGACTGTTCATGTGAGCAAGGTTTGGTAGAATGCAGCCCTCAATTTGTAATCCTATAAATCAAATATTAAGGGAACAATCATTTGATTAGGTTGTAGCATACAGAAAGCATTTCTATGATATGCCTATGGTATGGATAGATAGCATTGACAAGAGTGATAATTAAGCATTGTTCCAGAGTAACTTTAATGAGTTGAGAGATGTAAATGAGAACACATTTTTGGGATATGTTTTGTAACATCTAGATATTTTATGTTCTTTTGGATTAATAAGATTTAATTGGTTTTGACTACAGTGGATTTTTCAAGCCTTTAGTATTTAACAGTGCATTAGGGTACTCTCTCTGGTCTGGGGGGCAGTCAAGATGCCCACTTTTTGGAGAGTGTAAAATTTAAAAAAAAGTTATTGATTTAATCAGTTCGGTCAGTAGATATCTTTGTAAAATTGCCTTTTGAGTTTCTACAGATAGCAATAATGTCTCTTTTATTTACTGATACCTTTCCTATGGCATAGGGAGGAGATCAGAGTTCAGTTAACAACTCTAGTAACTTTCACTATTAGCAAACAGAATTCTGTTAGCTGCACTGGACAAGAAAAATGTCAATTTCACGCTGCCCTGCCTTTGGAAATCTATTACTAGACAGATGCAGATATTAAAACTATTCTTCGGGGAGGAGAAATGAAAAAAATTGATGCTGGGATTAAGATGACAGAATTTTGCCGTCTTGCAGCATCCAGCGTTATGACTACACAGCTATTGGAAGGGTGATTCCCTCCACAGGTATATAGACATTCATTAGATCTACTCCAAGTAGCACCTTCAAATATCTATGCTGCTCCAACCGAATTGTTATTTGTAGCCCTGGCCCCCAGTGCCTGCCCCGCCCCACTTACCTAGCCCTGCGCTGCTATCTGAGTCATGGCAGCTCTGGGGGCCAGGGCTGGGGTACACCGCCCAGAGCCTCCCCTTCTCCCGCGGCTGTTTGGAGAGGTGTGTCCTGCCCCACCTCTCAGCGAACCAGCACTGGGCAGGAGCGGGGTCTCTGGCCATGGAAGAGCGCTTCCCTGCATGGCAGGAGGGCCGCGCAGAGCCCTAGAGGTTAGTCAAACTTACTTCCTCTGTCGACAGATCATGCCCACAGTGGTGGCACTGTCGTCGGCATTGTGAGCTAAGGATGTTAAATATCGAGTAACTGACTAATCGAATAGTTGATGCATTTTGCATTGACTATTTGATTAGTCGATAGGATGCCTAGGGCTGTTGCTACACTTCAAAGGTGAGAGTGCCTCATGGAGCCCAGGGTCAGCTGGGGACTCCCCCGCTGATCTGGGGTACCATGTGGCGTCACTGCTCTGAAACACTGCATGCAGCCTGGGGACACTCGAGCTGGCCCCACGCTGTATGCGGCATTTCAAAGTGGCAATGCTGTGTGGAGCCCAGGATCTGGCCACAGGCTTCACACAGTGCTGCCGCTTTGACGTACCCCTTTCTCTTCCCCTCCCTTGATGCCTCTTTCTGATAGAGGCAGCAAGAGGAGGGGGAAGCGACTAGTCGACTAGCCCGTTGACTTGTCGTTCACATCCCTAGTGTTAGCAGTGCACTAGGGTATATATCCCACAATGCAGTATTGTGGGTAGGCCGAGCTGATCCCTATGCATCTTGTGATTTCCCTCCAAGTTCTCCTACAGTATCCTCAGCTGCCGAGAGTGGCATCGTGAGTAGCATGGCATCATGGCTCTGTGCTGAGGAATGTCAAAGCAGCACAGCATTATGTCTCCTTTCCCCTGCAGCAGCAGCCTGCTGCTTTATTCCTAGTGCAGATCAGAACAGGAGCATTCCACTGATTTGCTCTGTTTGTTCCCCAAAGGGAGCAGCAAGTTCAGATGTCAGACACTTCCCGAATCTTTGAAAGAGGAGGGGTATGTGCCTGCAGGGCAGCAGAGATCACAGCCATAAGAACAGGCATTGTGGGATACAATCAGAAGCCCATTCTGTAGACAAAACAAACAGCAGCTTCCAAGATAGCTCTTTGTTGACAATAAAGGGAGGGGAAAAGAAAAAAGTCTCTCGTGGGATGGAAGTTTTTTGTAGCCAAAATTGGGCATTTTTCCTGACAAAAGTCTCATTGTAGTGTGTATGCTCTCACTGTATTGTGGCCAAAAGGCAGTTTTTGGCAACAAAACTTGGTAGTGTAGACATGACCTTAGTCTTTTGAAAGGGTAAATCTTTGGCAGATGTATGAGCAATGTGCATGATAGCAAATGCTAGCCTCTTGGGATGGGGAGCTCAAATGAGACTTTGTTTTTCATATTAATTGGTCTCCTTAAGAATCTTCAGCTTATCATCAACTACCTGAAGTTATAAACAGAAGTTGACTTCCTTCTTAAATCCCCAAAACATTTAATCAGTTGAGTTTTCAGAGGCATTTGTAGGACTTTGTATTCCTTGTGCACAAAGAGGAGGAAGGACGTAATCCTTAGATTATCCACAAAAGAGATTCTGGGTTTCTCACAAAATGGTTTTCAAAAAGGTCTGAGCTAGAGTTTCTCAGCAGTTCAAAGTCTTAGCTGTGGGTGCCATGCAACCTGTGTCTCCAGTTGTAACCTGCGGCTTGATTCACATGCCTTGTGTGATCATGATATATTCTCATTGCATAGAAGTATATTGTACCTCTTATGTTGAAATTTGCTGGGCAGCTACATGAGTGTATGCTCATTCAAGACACACTATCAAATGGATGTGCTTTCTATTGTCCTGTGCTTCTTTTAGACATACCGTCCTTCACCAAGTCTCTGTGCTCTTACATAGTTCCTCCAGACATGCCGCCTTTGTCACTTGGGACATTTTGCCTTTTCCATTCCAATGGAAGATATTCTGTACAGTTTGCTACTTCCCAGCAGTGCCTAGCCTGACTGGGAAGCAGATTTACTGTAATTTTGTCTGTGAATGGAAATCTGCTGCTTTGTCAGGACATACCTTGGTTTATTGCATCTGGCAACTCTTCTGTAAGTCTCAGTGCATAGAGACAGTAATTGTTTTCTCTCTTTGGGTTTTCTGGTTAGAGAGAAAAGAGAAGGAGAAAATGTTCCCCACCTAATGTCTCCATATCTAATCTGTTCTAGGTGTTGTTGTTAGTTTTGTCCTGGTTTGTTGAGCAACATCAATTGAGTTCCTCAGACAAACCTGTAGAAGGCATTGACAGGCACGCTGCTTTAGGGGGTCTGGAATGGTAGGAAGGTTTTGTCTGCCTTTGAATCTTGGAAAAGGTAGAAAAAGTAATTTTTTACAGTTTTTTTTAACATGATCAAGCCCTAATTTTTGCAAAATGCAGGAATATACCAAACATGTGAGGCAAGAATTGGGCTTCGTTTAAAACGTTTGGTCTTATTTTTATTTTTTGGCAATTTTCTTTTTTATCTTAAGGGCAAATATCAACTGTAGTTTTCAGCGTTCAGCATTTAATTTGTCTATACAAGTCTAGGAGATTTCACCTCTGCATGAAAAACAAGTATATACAGGCAGTCCCCGACTTACGCTGATCCGACTTATGTCGGATCCGCAGTTACGAACAGGGCTACCCCAGAGTACACGGACTGCGGGACCTCGCGGTCCTGCTGCCCGTGTACTCTGGAGCTTTCTCTGCGTCTCCCTGGTCTGCAGACCAGGAAGACGCAGAGCAAAGCCGCGGGGGGGCTCGGGCAGCGGGGCACCCCAGGCGCGCCTGGGCTGCTCCGCTGCCGGCTTCCCCGAAGCTTTGCAAAGCCGCGGAGGGGCTCGGGCACCCCAGGCGCGCCTGGGCTGCTCCGCTGCCAGCTTCCCCGTGGCTTTGGAAAACCGAGGGGGGGGGGGGCCCGGGGAGCGGGGGCACCCCGGGACAC